GCCAAACTAGCTAGGGCCCCGTTAACTTCTCATACATAGCAGCGCTATGGGTTATTAATTAACAAAGGTCTTCTTGCATACTGCTTTTCAAAGTGTGTTTTTAGATACATTATCTTTTTTATTCTCACAAACACTACCCAAGTAAGACAAAAAATGGAAAACAAGACCCACAAAAGGCTGGTGTTATAATGAACCAAAATAAAATCTAAACTATTGTTTTATTCAGATGTTGTTTCACAATGAGCATTTCAAACAGAGTGCTCACAAACCCAGTGTTTACAAATAACTATGCTATCTCTTCAAGCTCTCAAAAATGTAATGAGTTACATTCTTTTTAGTGTGTGTGATTTTAAACTTAAGGGCTACATTATTTAAAAAAAAATAATAATATTAAGAAGTTATGGAAAAATATTAAGTATTTATTGCTTAACAGATTCTGTATGGTGCAATAAACCTCTCCTTTACCTAGCACTATGAGGAGTTGACATATTATAAAGAGATCCATTTTCTATAAAATATATGCCTGTTATAGAAATCTTTAGATAATGTAACTTCCCTATTGCGGGCTGGGGTAAAGGAGATAGTATTGTAAATAAAAAACAAGACAAACCTAAACCCACCATACTTCCATGCCAATATTTACTTCCATGCCAATCTCTACTTTTGCTTTGATGGAATTATGGGAAAGCTGAGTCAGAAGATTAGCGATAGAAGAGGCAGCCCCAGTGGGAGGAACTTCTTCCTTCCCACTGCCTTTTCCTTGGATCTCCATTCTCGGGGGGAACTCAACCCAACAGGTGCATATCACCCTGCGGAATTTGTGCCTCGGCATATTCCCAAATTGCTGCTTCAGGATCCAGCCCCATTTTGTTTCCAAAAGAGAACATATACCTCCAGATCAAATGTAAACTGGGATTCCCCACTCCTACACTTCCTGTTCCTCAGAATGATGAGGCCTCAGAGTTCAGGAAAACACAAAACCTCACAGCATTCTTACGGCAGGGCAGAATTCCCTGAATCTGCCCTATTTGAATCAGATGTGTGCTGAACAGGGCTGACAGCCATTATGGTCAGGCTGAAAAAAATGAGCCCCAAAGTCATCCAAAGAAAAGAACTCGCCCCAGCTAATTTTCACAGGAGCCCCGGGAGGAGCCCACAGCCAGGCTCCGAGAGACACAGAGGAGCCTTCCCAGCTGCTTTTCTAAAGGAGCCCGGACAGGCTTGGACTCCCTTTCCTTGTTGGCCAATAGGAGTCTGGAATTGGGCCCTGCACCAGATGAAGTGTCTTGATCCTGCCAACTGCTTCTTGGCTTTGAACAGCTGTGGGAGCAGCTGGCTTTACAACACACAGAGTGAGTCCTTGTGCTGAAGGAGGAGGGTCCTACCTGTGGTGAGAAACTTAGAAGTTTGGGTCTTTATATACAACTACCTTCAAGAACTATAACCTGAAGGTTGAGTGTGTTGTGCTTGCTATTTGCATGTTTTGCAAATAACCAATGGATCTACAATAGATTTATCCAGGGGAAATCTTCCTGCAATTATGAAAGTCAAATTTATCCAATTATTTGCTTTCAATCAGAAATTAAAGAGACACGAGATAAGAAATCAATTATCCCTGCACCAGCATAATTAATAATCAACTGAATTCCAGGAATCATAGATATATTAGTAGAGATTTTTTTTTTTAAGATATAAAGCCTATACGGGAGTAAAACTTGAGAGAAGACAATAATAACAAAATTTCAACAGCTGAAAAGTAGCAGAGCTGAATCTTAAATTGGCAGTGGAGAAAGCCAAGACTAATCCAATTTATACCACAGAATTCCCAATAGACCCTGGGGGCATTACTGGAAGTAGGTAACAATGGCAGGGCTAAAATAAAAGAGGATCTGTTTAGCTTCTTTTAAGAAATGGCTAGATTCCCCAGACCAGGCACCTACTCTGAAAAGCTGTGTTACTACACCTCTCCCGTCCTGGCAAAAGATACGGATCCCAAGATACGTTCTCTGGAAAGTATAAAATGTAAGTCTCCGGGTGAGAGACTCAGCACAACTTGTGGGGGAGGGGGAACTATAAAGAACACTAGGATTGGGTCAACACATGCAGGCTGAGATTGTCACCCCAACCCTTTGCCACCACTTGGTTTCCAGAAAGATGGCAGCAATGCCCAGACTCTCCCAGCAGGTGACCGGAAGCTCTCTGGGTGATTTGAACAGCCAGAGAGAAATGGACACTGGTGGTCCCACAAGTAAAGAGCCATTAACAGCACCTCCAACAAGTGCCAACAAGCTCCATCAGTGTATATCAGACTCAAATTAACTTTGCCCTCCCTCTCCACTATTGAATATAACAAAGAAGGATGACATGACATCGGAGGAAAGATTCTAAAAGGAAAGACAGAATCCAAAACAAACTACAATGTCAATTTGTACCACAGGAATACAATCAGAATTCAAATTGATGAAAACTCTATATGACAAATGGCCTGGATTCTTCAACAAATAAAGTGCATTAAAAAAAAAAAAGGAGAGAGAAATAAGGGGAACTATAGATTGAAATAGATTTGCAACACATATCCACCACTTATGCTATATGGACCCTATTTGAGTATTGACTTGAACAATCCAAGTGGTTTTTTTAAAAAAAGAGATAACCAGAGCAACTTAAATATTGGTTGGATGTTTGATGATACTAAGAAACTGTTAACTGCAAAACATTGGGAGTAGAGACTTGACAAGTTTTCAGAAAAAAGAAAAACAAAAACTCTGGCTATATTTGAAAGATCGGGAATCAGAAGTACTAGTATATAGGACTTCACAACAGAAAAATACTAGAAAACAATGAAGCAATACTTTCAAATGTCGGAAGGAAAATTATTGCCAATCTATAATTTCTATATCCAACTGAACTACCAATTAAAGATGAAGGTAAAATAAAAACATTTTCATATATGAAGACCTCAAACATTTAGTTTCTATTCATCCTTTTTCTCAACACAAAGGCAAGGAAGTAAATACAGAAAGAGGAAGAAATGAAATATAGGAAATAAAGGATCTAGCAGAGAAGAGAGGTGAAGGGAATTCCCAGAATAGTGACAAATAAAGATTTCAAAATAAAAGTTACTATCTATAACTCAGTTCCCTTGTCTGTGGAACAGGGAGCTAACAATAGTTCCTGTCTCAGACTTGTAAGGATTCAGCCTAAAACACTCAGAGTGGCCGAAGCTGGTTTGGCTCAGTGGTAGAGCATCGGTCTGCGGACTGAAAGGTCCCAGGTTCCATTCCAGTCAAGGGCATGTACATTAGTTGCAGGCACATCCCCGGTAGGGGGTGTGCAAGAGGCAGCTGGTCGATGTTTCTCTCATCAACATTTCTAGTTCTCCCTTCCTCTCTGTGAAAAATCAATAAAATATATTTTTTTTAAAAAACAAAAACACTCCAGAGTGGTACCTGGCACAAAGTAAGAGCTACTGGGTATCATCATTATTAAAGAGTTGACTCTACTCTATGTTAACATATAACTACTTAACATATTATAATAATTTTAAAAAAGAAAGAAAGAAATCAATGTAAAACACATTTCTGAACTGAACATACTTCCAGCTTTGGAATGACTAAAAAGAGTCACAGAACCATTGGGTTTAGGAGGCTGGCAGGGTTCTGAGATTTTTCTAGTGTACTATTCTTGTTTTAAAGTGTAGAAAATCGAAGTTCAGAGTAGCTAACCTGCTTCAGACTACACAGGCATTTATGTTTCCATGTCATCGCACTAAAAAATCAGAAGTGCAGCTAGCCTCAGGGGGTCACACATACAAACAAAATCACCACAGAAATAGTTTGTCCAGTTCAGTGATTATATCCTAGAACCAGGCACTGAGCTCAAATATACATAAGCAGAAAGGCCACATAGAGAGAGCCATTCGGGGCAAAAAAGAAAGGAAGCTACTGAGTTAGGTTGACATTAAGGAAGAAAAGTATTGAATTCATTGCTCAGGAAGGACACCTCTGGTGGCTTTACCCACAAAAGTGAGAATATTAATCCCTAATGCTCTGAACCAATCTGAGGCAGCATGGATGAGCATTGCTGATCCATGAGTACAGGGATGGGAAGCAATGCACATCCCTCACAGTTTTCTAAGCCTTTCTAAAGGAATACCCACCATTTTTAGGAATAGTAGTCTTTTTGGCCACTGCTACCCAAGTAATGATGCTCTCATCAGAATGATCTGGCAATGAAGACTACTGAGCAAGGCAATGAAGAGCGTGAGTATGGTCAGGGGAGAAAAGGCAAGATCCTGGGAGAAGAGAATTCCTTCTGTGTCTTATCAGGCAAAGCACCACTGAGACTCCTTTGAGGTTTGAGAGGGTGAGAATTTTCCTGGTAGGAATTCTATGGTATGTCTTCATCTCGTTCCAACTGAAAATAAGCCCTCTGTACATTGGCACAAAGTCACACGTAACAGTTTGAGATGAACTTATTTTAAAAGAAAATTGCCCATTTACTTTTCACTGAATTGCAGAAGAAAAGTACATGCTATTTTCTCTTCTTTAAAACACTGTCAGCTTCTATGCTTCTTGAATATTTATTCCATGTCTAATTGGTTTTGGATATGGTAAATGTTCCAAAGCAATCCACATACTACAGTGGTGGACTAGTTGGATTAAACACCTCTTAATATTTTGACCATTTAGCAGATTTAAGGTGACAGATGAAAAGTTCAAAATTACATAAAATGCTTTTAATTATTTTTATTAATGCCTATTTTAGTATTTGTAATTAATAAGATTGTCTTCTTTCACTTTCTTTTAAACATTGGGTGCATCTTGGAAAATCATTCAAATAAAAATACAAAAGTATATACTGGTAACTTAGCAAAGTTAGTAAAGACATAAAAAGAAATAAAAACTACTTAAAAATATTTCCAATTTCTTCTATGCTTGAACAGAAACATACAGAAAACACAGTTTAAAACTGAAAAATGCTGCCATGTCAACACTCACAGAAAAAGGAGGATTCCGGTGTTTGCCAGGGCAAAGGCGAGTCCCAGAATCCCACTGCCCATAATGGCGTTGCTTAGGTTAAACACAGACATGCCTAATGAGGTTGTTCCTGGAATCTGAACAAAGAGACAAACATTCACACTAAGCAAAACAGTCCCCAAATATGTTAATCACACCAAAGCCTTTTAAAGCACTATTAGTAACCAACACAAATTAAATTCAAGAAAACCTTCCTTAGTGGTTTAGTTGATTTTTAATGGGTTTCCAGAGAAAATGCATAGCATCTGAGGAACATTCTGGTGACTCTAGATAGCTATGCCTTTGGTACTATGCTCCATGAATTAAAAACACCTGCCCCAATTTATGTGATTAAAAAATAAGCATACTTATTATAATGACACTTACGTATTCGTCACACTTCTTTTTTTCCAAGTGGCTGTTTGTGAGACTTCTTCTGCTTTCGCGGTCGGAAATAAACTTGCTGTAAAGACACGTGTAATACATTTAACATCATGGTAGTGATTGAAGAACGTTTTATCTGAGTGATTCATTACTTACCAAAACATATTACACATGAAAACTTATCAATCTCATTCAAATCATTTCAATCAGAAGACATTAAAACATTGTATGCAATGTAAGTTAACGTTTACGTAGATTTTTTTTCTAACTACAAATCAGATAATGTCAAAAACACTCTAATGCTGTCATGTAAAAGAACAGCAGAAGCAGGATTCCTTCTGAGCTCCCATTCCTGGAGTACAAAGTTATTAAATGGGAATATCCTCTCCCCTGAAAAAAAGGAAATGACCCTTGCTCCATCAAATATTGCTTCAGCACCTGCCATAGGCAAGTCACCAGACAAGGTGATGAGAGACAGGAGGGTATGTACTATGGGATGCAGCCACTGAGCTATAGGAGTTCAGCAGAAGAAACTATGGTGGTGGGGCAGGGCATTAGGCCATGGGTAGGGGCAGAGCTAGGGCTTTAAGAAAAGGAGGGAGTTAGAAGGCGAGTTTGAATCCTCACTACCTAGCTACAAGGCCCTAGGCCACCTCAGTTTCCTCTGTGAAAGGAGAGTAACACCATTACATTATTGCATGGTGCTCTTGGGAAAATAAAATCATCACTACAGCTCCAGACACAGAGTAGGAGCAACATGGGGGGGCGTGGGACTTGAGCTGGGATGCGAAAGATTCAGGCAGGCTAAGTGGAGTAAATTGTCTACAAATACATAGAAGAAGGAATTCAGAATGCTCTCAGAACCATATTTAGCATTAACATCAGAACTTTATGGCCTAAATCTTTAGTTTAAAAAAAAAAATTCTCCATTAAACCCTAGGTGGCTTGGCTCAGTGGACAGAGCGTTGACCTTTAGACTAAAAGGCCCCAGGCTCTCAATTCCTAGACAAGGGCACATGCCTGGGTTTTGGGCTCAATCTCCAGTGTGGGGCGTGCAGTAGGCAGCCGATCAATGATCCTCTCTCATCATTGATGTTTCTCTCTTTCCCTTCCTCTTTGAAATCAATAAAATTATATATATATATATATATATATGTGTGTGTGTGTGTGTGTGTGTGTGTGTGTGTGTGTGTGTTTGTTTTGTTTTTAAATATATCTTACTGATTTTTTTACAGAGAGGAAGGGAGAGGGATAGAGGGTCAGAAGCATTGATGGGAGAGAAACATCGATCAGCTTCCTCTTGCACACCTCCTACTGGGGATATGCCCGCAACCAAGGTACATGCCCTTGACAGGAATCAAACCTGGAACCTTTCAGTCCACAGGCCGATGCTCTATCCATTGACCCAAACAGTTAGGGCAAAACTATATATTTTTTAAATTCACCAATAAAAAAAAATTAGTGGTATTGTCAAAGTCCCTTTGTTGGCTGCTTGTATTGTAAAACATGTTAGGCATGCTGTTTCCTCTTCCAGAAAGTTAATTATTTGGTCTTAGTACGAACTAATCACAATAAGTGTTTCACTAATCAATGTAAAGCCACTTGAGCTGAACTATTTTAAAGAAGCATTCATCTTTAAACTATACATTATATTTTCACATGCTTTTTTTTTTTTGAATAATGCTATGTTTCATAAGAAACCATTTTCAGTGAAAACGTCATCAATATTGGCTTAATTTACCTATCTTTTTCATTTTTAATCTAAAGGGATCTGGCTTCTTCCTGGCATTACCTTTCTAAGTTTGCATTATTTTGCCAAAATAAACCCAAAACAGGCAAACTTCCTGAGACCATCACCTGGTATAAGCAGCACAATCTGTGGTTTACTCCTTCAGCATCTGCCTTTGCCTAGCACCTGGCCACTCACTGTGAGAGACCAAAAGGAAGATGAAGGAAAAACACCTTGGTCTCTGAAGGAGAGACCACACTGGCTAACACCAGAACAGGAATGCCAGGCTGCACAAAATTGAGATGAGATAAGGAATCCAGAGAAGGGAAAACCATTATTGGAAGGGATTAGCCAGAAGACACTTAAGGCCAGTGGCCTGATAAGTAGGATTACAGGGAAGGACATGATGAAAACAATATTTTGGAGGCCAATCTGGCAGTTATAGAGTGTTTGGCCCTTTTCTTGCCCTTAACACAGAATTGAGGGTCACAGGCCTGACTAGAGAGAGGCAAGGAAAAGCAGCCTTCCTTTTCACACAAGCAGCCCAAGGTAATGCAGCTGCTGGACTTACCAAAATGAAATCGATTTCCAAAATAAAAATACACTTGGGCCTTGGCCAGTTTTGCTCAGTAGAATATCAGCTATCGGACCTAAGGTTGTGGGTTCGATTCCCAGTCAAGGGCACGTGCCTCAGACCTGGCAGGAGCGCATACATGAGGCAACCAATCAATGTTTCTCTCTCTTTCCCCCTCCTTCCTCCCACACTCTCTCGAAATCAATGGAAAAAATATACTCAGGTGAGGATTTATATATATATTTTTAAAAGCTATTAAATAAAAGACTGTACTTAATCAGGCTAATTTTAATAATCAACTCAAGTCAATCAAATATTTATTCAGAAAGTCCCCCATTTGCCTTTCTTGTGGAGGGACTTCTTTTCCATAGAGAATTTCTATTATTTTTAAATTAATGGAATAGCCTAAACATTTTCAAGCAATCTGAACCAAACACTAGCAAACCGCCTGGAGCAGATGTAAGCCCCCTGCCTGGCCCCATGCCTCAGGATTGGTGGCAGAAGACTGGTGGGCAGAGAAGAAAGAGGTATCGCCATTGTAACGCGACAGGCACTCAGAAGGGTCAAACAGTGTCACTGTGCATCGAAAGGGGAGGAAGAGGAAAGAATCAAACAGAGTAATGGTGGCGCATTAAGACATAGGTCTTTTTATTTTTTTTAATATATTTTATCGATTTTTCACAGAGAGGAAGAGAGAGGGACTCTCTACTCAGAAACATTGATGAGAGAGAATCATCGATCAGCTGCCTCTTGTGGTGTCCCCTACTGGGTTTGTGCCCACAACCAAGGTACATGTCCTTGACCGGAATCGAACCCGGGACCTTATAATCCAGTCCACAAGCCGACGCTCTATCCACTGAGCCAAACCGGTATCGGCAAGACATGTTTGTTTTTAAAGTAGCATCTAGTGCATGGAGTTGGAATAAAATAGAAAGGGAGAGAAAAAAAAAGATAAAGGAAAGGGAGGGGAAGGGAGGAAGAATAAGGCCGCTACGTGATTGCCGGCTCCTCCCTGCAGAACTTCTGCAGGATGGACTGATGAAACTGACTCACAGGGCTGTTGAAATGAGGAACTATCAAAAAGCACATTAAAATATGTTATATCTCGCCGAAACCGGTTTGGCTCAGTGGATAGGGCGTCGGCCTTCGGACTGAAAGGTCCTGGGTTCGAGTCCGGTCAAGGGCATGTACCTTGGTTGCGGGCTAGTCCCCACTGGGGGTGTGCAGGAGACAGCTGGTCAATGATTCTCTCTCATCGATGTTTCTAGCTCTCTGTCCCTCTCCCTTCCTCTCTGTAAAAATTAAATAAAAATAAAATAAAATAAATAAAATAAAATAAAATAAAATATGTTATATCTCAAGAGTCTGCCTGATTCTGCCTCTTCCAGTGCACTTTCTGCAGCAAGACCGAATAGGTTTTCCCAAAAGTCTTCACTGGCTCCCCTACTGAGACTTTTTCAAGTGTAAATCCCTCACCCTGCAATTCCTTGATGCTGCTGAATCTGACTTTGCCTTAATGTCTCGATCTCAGCTCCCACCACTCAAAATGATCTTCCCAAGAGGGGGTGAGGACTGGGACAAGATCATAGCATTCCTGGAGACCGGAAAATGAGGCAGCAGTGGGAATCCACGGCCCCTGGGGAGAGAGACCCTGTATCCTTTTCCGAGCCAGCACCTTCCTGCCAGTTCGAAGCTTCATCCATGAGCCTTCTGATACTCTGGTTTGAGCTGAATTTCCTGACTCCGACCTACTTATTACTTTTTCTGTGGCACATACTGTGCTACTAAACTCATCTCCCACCCAGAGTTGCTGTATAGTGCTCTCAGCCCCTCAGCTCCTTCTTAAATGTACCTACCCATGATTAGCAACTCAGAGGAACCTTTCATAAACCGAATACACACCTTCTATTTAGGAATTAGGGAGTAGCTTAGGCTGCAGGGAAGTCAGGCTCAGTAAGAAGGAAACAGAACGAATAAAGAAATCCTCTTCATTCTCTTTATGATATCTCCACCCACTTTTTCTTCTCTTTAGTCTTTAAATCTCTGCTTTGTATTTCTGAAAACTTTTTTTTAAACAAAATAAAACCAACCTTTTTAGTAATGGAAAAGTCCATTCAAAATAAGTAGGTCAAGCAGCTTATCACAGTTTCTGCTATCTTACCATTTAAAAAATGCAGTTGTGTGATAAAAACCACGGACTTCTGGCAAAGAAATTGAGTTAAATTTATCTTTATTCACTTAAAAATGGGCTATGGAAGATGTCTTTGACATGTGGTCTCGGGATGATGAAAGTATTATAAAAAAAAAAAAAAGAGTTTTCACTGGGTTGGTCTGTATCCACAAAGAATCATCCAATCAACTATTAGGTAGTCAATTGTTCTGAGAACAAAACCAAACAAAAACTGACAGTGGCGGTCATGGTGACCTTCAACAGACAAAGCCTTCAAAAGGAGTAGGTGTTTTACTGAAATGATGTGAAGGAAGGCTGAGCAATACAGAGCAGTTATTTAAAACCAAAAATAAATCAACATCAACAACCATTGAACAAGCATTGGCGGTACAACAGAAAGCTATTCTTCCTATTTTAATCCCCACCAATCAGATTCTTACTAGATTATAGTGTTCTATTTGAGGTTGCCTCACACAGAAAAGATCAATGGTTGTACTTAGAGGACCTATCCCAGTTCTTTTCCTGAAATTCTAACATTCTATAAAAAAACGAAAAGAGAACAGGAGGAAAGAAGCAAGTAACAAAGAGGCTGGAGAACACGTAAGATTTAAAGAAACAGCAGGCATTTAAAGGGAAGACTGAGAGGTAAGCAAAGCCTTTCTGGTTGGATAAACTCTACTGAAAACAGGAGAAATCCAGGTTGTAACAGGAGCTCTGAAAGCAAGGAAATAATTTTTTGACATAAGAACTGATCATCAGAAGGTGATGGAATCTTCTTAAGGATTCTCCCAAGTGATATAAATTTAGCACATGAACTTTGAAGCATATACAGGGACAAAAATAAATAAATAAAGACTGATGCGGGGGAGGGGGGGGAGGCGGGGAGAGGGGGAGAGGGGAGTAGTGACAAGAATTGCCCCACATCCTTTTAAGAACAATTTTAACGAAGGACTCTCAAACTTCATTAGATGCTGCCTGGGCCACAGCAACAATAACCACACAGACAGATGAGAAGAGTAAATAAATATGAAAATATGTGAATATTTGCTTAGATACAGTTAGGATAATCTACTAATATTCCAACAGCTTTAACGTAACAACCATCAGCAATCATCCAGACCTAAAACATTATTATTCCTTGGTGTAGACAAGAAAGAAGTGCCTGCCAAAGAAAGAAGATGCATTTTTATTGATAAAGACTCATCTCACACTAGAAGGCTTACTATTACCAGACACTTGCCAAGCACCTTCCATGGATCTTCTCATCTATTTTCACAATAATTGTATTGGTCAGTACTATCATGAGCCCCATTTTAGAGAAATTAAGTAACTTGACCAAAGTAACGTTACTAATAACAAAACCCCTGAGCCAGGATTTGAACCCAAACTGGCTGATGGCAGAGCCTGAGTTCTTAACCTACAAACAGTAACACATCTACTATTCTCCAACACTCCCAGGAAGTAAGGTATTTTTTTACCATCCCGGTTCTCACAGGGATGGAACTGAAGCTCAAAGGACAAGATCACACAAGACCTAATCGATAGAGCCGGGATTCAATACAAGTCCAAAATCACACCACTTAACTACTGGCTCTCTCTTCTGTGTCTGGCTCTGTTTTCCTCTCTCGTTTAACAAGTATTTTATAACTTCCACTCTGTATCAGGCACTGTCATCTATCATTTCAAGGTGCATGAGATGTGAAGATGATTCCTCCTCTAAGGAAGCTCACTCCTCAGGGAAGAGTCTAGAGCTTGCTACTCAAAAAAGTGCGGTCCAGGGGCCAGCAGTGTGGGTATTACCTGGAAGCTTGCTAGAAATTAGAACCTCAGGCCCCCTCCCAGACCTACTGAACCAGAATCTGCATTTTAGCAAGTTTTTCCAGATACTTCCTACGCACACTAACATGTTAGCAGAACTCTCACTACTCCACCACTTCCGCCATCACCGCCACCACTCCAACCACACCACAAATAAGCAAACAAAAATGTTAGCAGAACTGGTCTAAGTGGACTTTTTGAAAGGTTTTGCTGTTCCAGGTATAGATTTCTGTGACTATAATCCAAAACTTATGGCATGAAATAAACCTACCGAACTGGAATAGGGGCAGGTGTTCTAGTGCCCAAATGGCTCTATTTTTGCCTAAACTTAAAACATTATTCTAAGAATAGGGGAGTTTCCAGGCAAAGCTGTAAGCTAGATGCCAGGTGACCAGAGATCAACATTTGTTTTCAACATTTTCTCTAGCTTCCTCAAAAAGAGGAACTGTTACACAGAAGTTCCTTGTTTCAGGGGCTGGTTCCCTTAGGTGCATACAATTGAGCTTACCTTCCTCCCATCAATGTGAAAAAGCTACAGGAAGAATGAGAGGTATTGCCCAGATGGCGTGGCTCAGAAATTGAGCATCACCTATGAACTAGAAGGTCATGGTTCGATTCCCGGTCAGGACACATGCCCGGGTTTCAGGCTCAATCCCTAGTGTGGGGTGTGCAGAAGGCAACAATGATGTTTCTGTCTCCCTCTTCCTCTCCCTCTCCCCTCCACTCTGAAATCAATAAACATATATTAAAAATAAATAAATAAGCCCTAACCAGTTTGCTCAGTGGATAGAGCATCAGCCTGAGGACCAAAGGGTCCTAGGTTGATTCCAGTCCAGGGCATGTACCTTGGTTGTGGACACATGCCCAGTGGGGGTGGGAGGTGTGCAGGAGGCAGCTGATCGATGTTTCTCTCTCGTCGATGTTTCCAACTCTCTATCACTCTCCCTTCCTCTCTGTAAAATATCAATAAAATATATTTTAAAACATAAATAAATAAAAATGAGAGATATTTAGGTATAGCTTTTGCAGCAATCATGGTGGAGATCATTTCTGATTTTTATTTATCTTTTTTGGCTTCTTGGCATAATATGTTGTTTCTAATTTTACTTGTCCTAGAGCCAAACTAAAGAAAGGCTCATGAACTGTGCCAGTGAAAGAGGGGAGGTTAGATAAAAGAGGAAATAAATGCATCACACCGCACAGGCAGCAAATGAACCAAATTCTACAAAACAAGGAGTCAACACCAACAGCAAACCTGCTGGACCAGCTCACTGTCTGGGTCCCAGTCCCAGAAGAGGTGAGTTCACTGGGCATGGTGCCCAGGTGCCCACGTCAGGGGTGAGGATGGTCATCACCTCAACAAACGGGATACTGTTAGTAAAGAAAACTCTTTAAAATCAAATCCAGTCTCTAAACTGAGTATTAAACTGACTCCCATTTTAAGGTCTCCAAGGTCTGCGTTGCTTTGGGATGGAAGCTGTGTTATAAAACCAAAGTGTCCTGCTTGTGAAATGGATGGGATCCCATGCGCCATTAAGTGGAGGCCAGCAGTGACTGCAGGACAGTCCAGGAGTACAGAGCGTAAATTAGCGATGGCAGAGTTTAAGTGAACTAGCTAACGCCTGAGCATTATAATCAGAGGCAGGTGGATAGAGTTGAAAGACTAGAACTTCAGATGAACCTGTGTATGCCCTTGAGCAAGTTATTTTATTTCTCTGGACCTCACTTTTCTTACTTGTAGATGGAAATTTAAAAAATTTCCCTATTTGCAAAAGAATGCTTTGCATGATGTTGTTATAAGGATAAATGGCAATATATGTAAACACAGCTGGCAGTCAAGAAATGTTCATTATGCCCTGGCTGGTTAGGCTCCGGGGATAGAGCGTCGGCCTGTGGACCAAAGAGTACCAGGTTGGATTCTGGCCAAGGGCACATGCTTGGGGTTGCGGGCTCGATCCCCAGTAGGGGGCGTGCAGGAGGCAGCCAATTAATGATTCTCATCACTGATGCTTCTATCTCTCTCTCCCTTTCCTTTTCTCTCTGAAGTCAATAACGATATATTTTTTAAAAAAAGAAAAAGAAATGATCATTATTATTAATAATCTGAATCAGAAAAGGTAAAAGAAGAGAAGTTGAGTCCAACAATAAGAAATATCACAAAACAGTAAGTGATACTTGGGATTATAATGAGGAAGTGTCTGGATAGAGACTTAACCTCTAAGAACATTTAAGGAAGAGAAAAAGAAGAAGAGGCAGGGCTGAAACTTCTGAGTATGTGTGAATGACGGCAGCTACCTCCTCTGCTGGACTTCCACTTACTTATGTCCACACTCCATTCGAACAGAGAACAGACTATTGGACACTCTTCCTAATACGACGCCTGGTCAGGTGATGTAATGTTGTCATCTCCCTCAACTCCAATTTCCTTCTGACAACCCCTCCACAGCAAGAACAATAGTGTAGCATCGTTACTGTTCTAGTAAGGAGTACTGTATACTCCCTCACTTCTCCAAGCCTTTTAAGAGGCATCATGCTTCAAACAAGCCGCACCACTAGCTCCCACGCTGGAGACCTTCCTGCTATGGGATCCACAGGAGCGGACTATAATTCAGTAGGTCAGAGAATGCCCACATCACCAAAAACATAAAGACATTGGGCCCTACTCTCAGAAACTAAGAAACTCAGAACCCAAGATTTAGAAAGACATGCTGAGGCCAAATGCTTCCAGGCCAGCACTCTTCCCACCTGCCTCTCCACCTCCTCTCACTCGTGGCATCTTTTCTTTTCTTTTTAAAATAAATTTTATTGATTTTCTACAGAGAGGAAGGGAGAGGGATAAAGAGCTAGAAACATCGATCAGCTGCCTTCTGCACACTCCCCACTGGGGATGTACCCACAACCAAGGTACATGCCCTTGACCTGGGACCTTTCAGTCCACAGGCCGACGCTCTATCCACTGAGCCAAACCAGTTAGGGCTGTGGCATCTTTTCTTTTTTTTCTGCTACGTGTGCTATTTCTCTACTACAGTTTCTCATAGAGCCATCTGGGCTCAACTGCAGTTATTATTATTTAAAATCCATGTTGCAAACGATGCTTGGAATGGTGCATTTGTAGTTTTAATACGGGAACGTTGGCAAATGGGACTTTGACCATTTCCTGGTTAAAAACGTGGGCAAGGTCAGACGACGACAGGACACATTCAGATGTGGGTTGCCATGAAAGGCCAATAGTCCGTCTAATTCACAAGCACAGAGCTTCTGAGAAGTGAGGGCTAGTTGGGGTCCAGTGTATTATACACGTTTATTAGACTCAATTGAAAGATGGGAAAGGATGAATAAAATGCTTTCCTATTTGATTCATCTGCTATTGCAGACTATGCCCAACAGATGTCACATGAGAAATTCATATTACATCCTCAAATGGAGCATAACTTTGGTAATGAATAATTCAAGAGAGTAACTGAAAATCAGAATATTTCAGAGACATTTCTTTTACTGGATAAAGTGCTAGGAAAATACTCACCTATTTATTTGACCATTTTCTACTTCAGTGAAGTCATTAGAATCATTGCTGATGTTGTCATCCTCGGGCACTGTCATGTTTTGCAACTCGGTTAATTCGAGTCCACTTTTGAAATGCATCATGTTTATCAAGTACCTGTCGTCAAAAACTTCGTCCAAACTCTCCTGTTTTGAGCGTATTTACAAGTGGATAGCAGCAAACATATAAGCTTGACACCCCTAAAATATAACACGGTGAAATATAGTTAAACATATGAATATAATCAACATATGATTAAGATGGTTGAAGTAAACAGTTAATGCAACTTTTACATTTTGCTACTCAGTGCATTAAAAGTAATCTTTGTACATCAAGTTACAAAGGCTCTATATTTTATGCCTTTCATAAATCTCCCTCCATTTTTAACTATAAAATGAGTTATGCCCCACAATCTTTATGCTCACATTTATAGGAATACCATGTCAGCTGCAGGCAATATAGATACTGATTTATAAAACAGTGTGTTTAAAATGAAAGCGAGTTGGTTACTTGAATGCATCAGCTGGGTACAGACCACAGAGCCACAAATGCACCTCTGGTTTAGCATTCCCAGTTGAATAAAAATGCAATAAGTGGCATCATGAGGGATCAACCACCCAACCCAGAGGTCAAATAGCAAAGGACAAATCTGTGTTTTGAAATTCAGCAGTTTATCCATCAACCGCAAGAGATTAATTCAATCTCTGCAATGAAAGCACTCCATGTCAGGGAATTAGAGATTTAAAAATTCATACTCAGGGGATTTAGGTTAATCCTTCTGAAACTACATTTCCTCATCAGAAACAAAAGACTTGCAGAGCTCACATTTCCCCCCCAACGTGGATGACTGGGATTTAAATTTCTGAGGGGTCACCAATAGTATACTAGGAGGGAACCAAGTTTCAAACACATAGCATCACAAATCAAAAAGCAGGTGGTGCCCGGCTTGGGTTTGCTCAGTGGTTAGAGCGTAGGCCAACATATCAAAGCGTTGCCAGTTCAGTTCCCAGTCAAGAGCAAATATCTTGGTTGCTGGCGGGGTGGGTGTTGGGAGGCAACCGATCGATGTGTCTCTCTCACATTAACGTTTCTCTCTCTCTGCCCCCATCCCTCCCTTCCACTCTGAAAATCAATTAAAAAAATATCCTCAGGTGAGAATTTATTAAAAAAAAAAAAAATAGGTGTCAAGAATGGCGAATGCAGTTTCAAAAGTAAGGCTTCCACATGTGCAGGAGCCTCACCGGGAGAATCTCAGTGAGGTGATGGGGACCATGGAATGAAGCAGAATGTCAATGAATATATATATATATTTTTTACCTCCAATGGTAATTGGATGATCCTTTTGTATTTTTCTGATCCCGAATTTCATTAAGATGATTGCAGTTCAGTGTCAAAACACCAAGGTGCCCATCTAACATCCTGCATATCTCAAGAAGCATTTGGCTAATTGATAGTATGTGCAGGACCCATAGGAAGTACCCTAGAAGGATGTCTACCCCGGATTTTCTTCTCCTCCTCACACAGCCAGGCACACGTGACTCCTCTTCATTCACACAGACTCCTATCTAGAATGAAACCTCCCCGGTTCCGGGATCCTTTACAACTTCCACAACATACATCCTTTCTAACACCTCGGGTGCCAGGAGCTTCACCTTCCTGCAGGAGGGTCTCTCCTGGAAAGCGGGAAGCTGGGGCAGGGAGATGGGAGTTGCGTGAACTCCTGGTCTAAGCCCCACTTGGCAGTGTGGGGCTGCCTCTTCTAGCCAGGGTAGAGATGGGCCACTTCTAATTGCTCTTAGTGCCTTCACACAGTAGCAAGGTTTACCCCTGTCTTTACTTTGCTGAAGATGAACTGCATTAAGACAACTGAACACCACCTGATCCCTTGGGCCCCCTTAATGAGAGCTGCACAAATGCACTGGCTGTCTCCTATATGGCTCGCTCAGAAGCTACTGAAGTGATGCTACAGGGCTGGTAGGAAGTTGATTCAGTGGATGGTGTTTCAGTCTGGATTAAGGAGCCCTTACCTCTCCATAAACTCAGGGGAAGCAGGGCACCAGACAAAAGCTTTCTGAGGATAGGAAAGATTAACTGACCATAAATCAGGAGTCTACTGTTTGAATTTAAACTGTTATATCAATATACACTGAGTGGCCAGATTATTATGCTTTCAGAGATCATAATAATCTGGCCACCCTATATAATAAAAGGCTAATATGCAAATTGTCCCCTCAACCAGGAGTTCAACCAGCAGGCAGGCCGACTGGACCCCACCCATGCACGAATTCATACACCGGGCCTCTAATATATATATATATATATATATATATATATATATATATATATATTGAGTGCTATCTATCTATCTATCTATTGAGTGGCCAGATTATTATGTGTTCAGAGATCATAATAATCTGGCCACTCAGTGTATGTGTGTGTTTATACAAATCACACACACACACATGAATATATATATCCTATATAATAAAAGGCTAATATGCAAATCGAATGATCACTATGATGTGCACTGACCACCAGGGAGCAGACCCTCAATGCAGGAGCATCTCCCACTTCCACTATAGCTCTAAGGATATACAACTGTGAGCTTAGGCCCACTCCCCACCTTAGCCATCAGTTGGACATCCCCAGATGGTTCCCAGACTGCGAGAGGGCACAGACCAGGCTGAGGGACCACCCCTCCCCAGTGCTTGAATTTCGTGCACTGGGCCTCTAATATATATGTATGTAAACATACATACATAAAACCAGTTATTTAAAAATGGACAAAAAGAGAAAAGAATAAAAAGAATACAGAAAGTCCTGGCCACTAAAATTATGTCAATATTGGGCAAATACAGTACTAAGTTAATCATATATACTTTTTCCCCCCTTTGGCTTAAAGAGACATTTTTTTTTTTTTTCTCACTCTGGAAGCTAGCAGTCCATGATCAAATCCACACCTCCTTCTGAGGCCCCACTCTTTGTTTTGCAGATAGCAGCTGCCTCCTTACTATGTTCTCACATGGTCTTTCTTCTGTCCATGTATAGTGTGGGCCCTAATCTTTTTTCTTTTAGAATAAATATTTATTGTTGTGAAGTAACCTATCTGAAATCTAATTGTTCTTGAAAATGAAGACTGAAAAATGGGGAAAATTAACAAAGTTAGTGACACCTGTCACTAAGGTTGAGGCCACATGCAGAAAATACAATCCACTCACTGTACATATTTATTGAGCACCAGACGAGGAAGGGATGTGAAGGTTTGGGAAAAGACAGATTCATGGGTCTGAGGCAGCATCACAGAAATGTCACATTTGCACTGGGTCTTGAAAAAGAAAAAAATATTTTTTCTGATTTTAACACTAATAGAGGTTCACTGTGGAGTATTTAGAATAAATATTGTAAGAGAATCCCACCATCCAAAAATGGCCACTGTGGAATTTTCATGTTTTTCCTCTTTTCTTCCTTTTCTTTTTTTCCCTCCCTCCCTCCCTCCCTCCCCTCCCTCCTCCTCCCTCCCTTCCTCCTCCTCCCTCCTCCTCCTCCTCCTCCTCCTCCTCCTCCTCCTCCTCCTCCTTCGTCTTCTTCTTCTTCTTTTCTCTCTCTCTCTCTCTCTCTCTCTCTCTCTCTCTCTTTCTTTCTCTTATTTATAATTAGGATTTTAGACTTTTTAAACCTATTTTTATATAGCTTTATATTGTAAGCATTTTGTGGAAGTGCTTTTAAAAAACATATCAACTGAGGGAGGAGGGTTGTTGGGGAGGGAAGGAATGGTAGGGGAGGCCTGGGGAAGGTCAATGGGGGGGGGGGAAAGAGACATATGTACTACCATTTATAATATTTAAATAGCATATATTATATATATATATATATATATATATATATATATATATATATATATACTGTTTCCCCGAAAATAAGACCTACTTACAGGTTTCCTTCTGAGTGAAATATAAGGCATCTCCCTAAAATAAGGCCCCCTAAGGCTAAACATGAGAGATTTGGTCCACTGATTCTGAAAGAAATGGAGTCACAAGAAATTCACCAGGAAATTCAGGAATTGGATTGTTATGATGATGTTCCAGAAGATGATGACATGATTGTCATTGAATAAATGAGTAAATTCTTGATACTGTAGGATTGACAGTTTGTCTGGTTTGTGTTGATAACTACTGTACTACCGTACCGTATACAGGTAATAAATTTCCTTTATTTTCATTTAACAATAAATGTGTACCGTATTCTTCTTCATGGAAAAATAAGACATCTCCTGAAAATAAGACCTAGTGCATCTTTGGGAGCAAAAATTAATATAAAACACTGTCTTATTTTCGGGGAAACAGGATCTATATATATATATATATATATATATATATATCTTTAATAAAAACAGATCAGTTCCTTAGTAATAAATACAGGTTTTGTATAAAAATTGTAAAAAGCAAGTTTGCAAATGAAGAGAAAACAAATAAAAAGAAAAAAATCACCTGTTATCTTAGCAAGCAGAGACGATCACTGTATGTATATTGGAGTACGACCTTCCAGGGTTTTTGTATGCACATAGAGATAGGGCCTGGTACACAGTGGGCACTCAATAAATACCTGTTAAATGAAAAGAATGAATACAAATGAAAAATACGTATACATTTCTAAAAATGGAAATCATACCACAGAGTTTAAAAACATATTTCTCACTTAACAAGATACGGTCTCCTCCACTGACTTATGTCAGTAAACACAGGTCTACACAATTACTACTAATGATGGTTTAGCCGCATGACTATACCATAAATTAACAGCCAACATGTTACTACTGGACGGTTACACTGCTTGGTAGACAGAAGATTGACAGGCAGAGCTGAGGCCTGAGCTGATACTTCTCAGTGAAAGAGAAGATAACAGCACGGAGGCAGGAGGTACAGGTGGAGTTCAGGAAACAAAGAATTATAGTGTCATTGAAAGATCAAAGCAATTATCAGACTATAAAATTAATTAAAAAGCTGAATGGGGCCATTATGTGAAGATCTTGATGTTAACACAACCATAATTACTCTCTCGACATTTATATTAGGGAACAAATTACAATTTACTCAGCACAGACATGTCTGATCCTTCACTACATTATGATGTTAGTTTGCTTATTGGTACATGTTATTAATACGACCAGTGTAAAATACATAAACTTAGTCTCTGCTCTTCATGGTGTTAAGTAGCAAAGGAGAGGATATGCAAACTTGTCTGGATTTACATGGCTTACAGCCTATTTAAACAAGCAACACCATCCCACATAACGTGACAATATTCCATAAAACATTTGCATGATGGAACCATACTATATGGCAGAACAAAGAATAAGTCCAGACGGATTTCAGAGACAGACAGACAGACATATGTACTTACAGGAAGGAACAACGGAAGGAGGGGTGGGTGGAAAGAGGGAGGCAGGAAAGGAAGGAAAGTAAATGGGGCCTTGAGAAATCAAGTAAGGTTTTGCAGTGTCTAAAAAATAGGGAGGATTTAGACTGGGGGATAGGAAAGGCATTTATTTTTCTCTTTTTTAAAATATATTTTTATTGATTTCAGAAAGGAAGGGAGAGGGAGAGGGAGAGAGATAGCAACACCAATGATGAGCCCTAACCGGTTTGGCTCAGTGGATACAGCGTAGGCCTGCAGACTGAAAGGTCCTAGATTTGATTCAGGTCAAGGGCATGTACCTTGGTTGTGGTCACATCCCCAGTAGGAGGTGTGCAGGAGGCAGCTGGTCAATGTTTCTCTCTCATCGATGTTTCTATCTCTCTCCCTTCCTCTCTGTAAAAAAATCAATAAAAAAAATTATATATTTTTTAAAAAAACATCAATGATGAGAATCATTGATCAGCTGCTTCCTGCATGCCCTCTATTGGGGCTCACGCCTGCAGCCTGGGTTGATGCCCTTGACCCATTAGTCCACAGGCCAATGCTCTGTCCACTGAGCAAACCAGCGAGGGTGGAAAGGCATTTCTTGTACAGTACTGGGAACAACATAGGCAAAGACACAGAGACCAAATGTGCACAGAACAGCCTTGTGAGACCATTCGGACGAGCCCAACTAGAGTAAGGAGAGCAAAGTACTGTACATATTCCTTGAGGAATAGGTTTATAGTTGATAGGAGATGATTTAAAGATTCTACAGGGAAAACCAAACCAACAAATGTAGTGTAACTTAAACATTGTCCAAAATTACTTTTGGGGATAAATAAGCTGAAATACAATTTCCATTGCTCATATACTTTGTGGTGGATTGGTCTGCTCAAATATTTGCTCCCACTTCGTTGTAATCCAGTACTACAGAGGATGGGGAATTGAAAACTATTATTTCCCACATCCCTTTGCAGCTTGGGTTTTAGATCTGACTTAGATTCCACCAATCAGAGAGCAAGGTGCTGGGGACAAGGCATCTACCCAATATTTGGCTGGTCCAATTCCATCAGGTGAAGCAGTCAGCACTGGAGCCAACAACTGTGTCTATGGATTCCTGATAATCAGATGGGCTGGAGTGATGTGTTCCTGGAACAGGCAGTTGAGACAATGAGGAACCAGCTTCCTGGTTTCCCAGCTTCCTGATGGAGGCACAGGTAGCAGTTTCCTTAGCAGGTCAGTTGGTATTCTGGTCATTATTCCAAGAGGCCTGACCTAAGACCTGCTGTGTCATTTCTTCTAACAGTTTTACAGGCACTTAATTCCCTGTGCTTATAAATCCCTTTTGTTTAACACACATAGAACGATGCCTGTTACACTAAACCCTGACTAATATTCATAATTTTCTTTTTCTTCCCTTTTAAATTTTTTATTATGGGAACTTTTAAACAAATGTAAATGTGAACAGAATAGAATAATGAATCCCCATGTACCAAATTCAACTATTATCAATTCAGGCCAGACTGGTTGAAATTTTACCCCCACCATCACATAGAACCGTGTTTCCCAAAGTGTGGTACGCATACCCCCAGGGGTACTGGAAGAGTTTGGTTGGGGTACGCATTGCACTGGAGTTTGGTGGGGATATGCACTGCACCATGCTTAGCTGCGCCTAATTCTACGTTCTCATGAGTACAGGGGGTACTCAGCATTACGAAAATTATAGAAGGGGTACACATATGTCAAAAGTTTGGAAAACACTGACATAGATTTATTTTAAAGCAGATTCCAGATATCCTTATCTCTGTAAATATTTCAGCACACATATTTCTAAAAGGGAAAAACTATTTTTTCAAATATTGCCATATCACTATCAAACCTAAAAAAAAAAATGACAAGAATTCCTTAATATCACTAAGTATCCAGTCACATTCACTTAGTTTTTTAATTATTATGAATCAGTTTGTATGTTGTTGTTTTTTTAATTCTGAAGAACCAATAAAATCACAGCTCTCTGAGCTCAACTTCTGAGAAGCAATCCTGACAGCAAGGGCGGTGGTTGTAAGGGCCGCAGGGTCCCGTTCTTGCTGCCATCTCTCCCAGTAACTGACTGAGCCTCCTTACCCACGTGCGGTCTTTGAATCAACAGGTTCTTGGATGGTAATGGAATGGATCTAAGAGCTGCTTTTCTGTGTTTTGGAAAACCTCAAACAGGCTAAACAGGTTAACTAAAATGCTTGCCTTTGCAGATTGCATTAATTTGATGTGATAATCCTAGGTTCTAACTGGTAATTTTATATATCTTCAAGGAGTAAAATCGGAAAATGAATTAATACATTAACACTGTAGTCAAGACTCATTAAACAGTATAGTTAAGACCTGGATGTTGCACTACATATCAATTATACTTCAATTAAAATAAAAGCTTAAAGTGGATACTCAAAATCTTTGAAAACCTGAGGCTCTTAGGAGGTGGGGAATAATAAAAATGGCCTTTGGTGGTGAACAGGCTGGGAGCCAGTCAGCAATCGAAGAGGAAAAGGTGTTTTCTCTATCCCCACTCAAACCTCACAACGTACCCAGGGCTAGTGATCGCAGGTGTGCTAGGACCCTGTATCACCATTTCATCTCTGCTGGCTTCCCCAACCTCTGTCAGTCACTCTCAGCTCTACATCTGGAAAGTAACTGTGTCTAGAACCTTGAACTACCACCTGCCCCTCCTCTCTTTACAGCCAACAAACCAAACAACTTGCTCCTGGCCTCATCATTCCCCTCAAACCACGCCCAACTGGCAAACTCTGGCCCTGCCATTTAGGAGCTGTGTGACCCTGGGCAAGTAGGTTAACGCCTCTTCGCCTCAGTTTCCTCTTCTGTAAAATGGAGATAAAGTAATACCCACCTCATACGTCGTTATACTGATTCCACGATTGGGTCCATGTGCAGCACTTACAGCAATGCCTGGCCTGGTAAGCTATGGTGACTATGGTGGCTGCTCTCATTTTATTTTATTTTATTTTATTTTATTTTATTTTATTTTATTTTATTGATTAAAGTATTACAAATACTAGTAATTATGTCTCCTCCCCCCCCCCCCCATTGGCCTTCCCAACCTCTCCTACTACCCCAGGATATGCCCTCCCCTTCCCTCCCCCATTTCCCCAGTGTCTTGTGTCCATTGGTTATGCTTATATGCATGTATTCAAGTCCTTTGGTTGATCTCTTACCTCTCCCCCTCAAAACCCCTCCCCCAAAAAAAAACTCCCCAGCCTTCCTGATGTAATCTGACAGTCTGTTCGATACTTCTCTGCCTCTCTATCTATATCTATCTTTTTATTCATAAGGTTATGATGTTCTTTATTATCCATAAATGAGTGAGATCATGTGGTATTTTTCTTTCAATGCCTGGGCTTATTTCACTCAGCATAATGCTCTCCAGTTCCATCTATGCTGCTGCAAATGGTAAGAATTCCTTCTTTTTTATAGCAGTGTAGTCTTCCACTATGTAGATGTACCATAGTTTTCAAATCCACTCATCTGCTGATGGGCATTTAGGCTGTTTCCAAATCCAAGCTATTGTAAATTGTGCTGCTATGAACATAGGGGTGCATATATCCTTTCTGATAGGTGTTGCTGTCTTCTTGGGATATATTCCTAAAGGTGGTATTACCAGGTCAAATGGCAGTTCCAGTTTTAAATTTTTGAGGAAACGCCATACTATTTTCCACAATGGCTGCACCAGTCTGCATTCCCACCAGCAGTGCACGAGGGTTCCTTTTTCTCCACATCCTCTCCAGCACTTGTCATTTGTTGATTTGTTGATGATAGCCATTCTGAGAGGTATGAGGTGGCTTTCTTGTTGTTTTGTTGGTGGTTTCTTTTGCTGTGCAGAAGCTTTTTATTTTGATGTAGTCCCATTTGTTTATTTTCTCCTTAGTCTCTCTTGCCCTAGGAGCTGTGTCTGTTAAGATATTGCTATAACATGTCTGAAATTTTGCTATCTATGGAGTCTTGTAGGATTTTTATAGTTTCCCATCTTACATTCAAGTCCTTTAGCCATTTTGAGTTTGTTTTTGTGTATGGTGTATGTTGGTGATCTAGTTTCATTTTTTTGCATGTATCTGACCAAATTTCCAAGCACCATTTTGGCTCCATGGTATGCTCTTGCCTCCTTTGTCAAATATTAATTGAGTATAATGGTTTAGATC